CAGCACATAGCAATCAAATCCTTCATCATCTGACACAAGAAGCACTCTCCATTCATGGAGTCAAAGATGCGGTACAACTAGTAAGTGACTAGAATTAAATCAACACTTTCTTTGCTATGGTATGTATAAAAAGTATGGGTGAACTTGAGAGTTCAAACCTTAGACTGATTGTATTGCAACTACCACAGGTGAACACCAGAGAGGAAGTAGAAGATCTCTGCCGTTTGGATAAGCTAATAGATCTAATCATTCCACGTGGTTCATCACAGCTAGTCAGGAATATCCAGAAAGCTGCTAAGGGAATCCCAGTGATGGGACACAGCGAAGGGATCTGTCATGTGTATGTGGATACGGATGCCAGCGTTGAGAAGGTCACACGAATAAGTAAGCTGGGAGAGGGTGACTTTAATCTCATGGGTGTAACTGAACTTTGTATGTGGAGTATGCGGTATGGTTATGGTAATTGGTAATTCATATGCTGTTCAAAATCTTTTTCATAAATGTTATGTAACCAATTATCTACTCTTAAACCTCAGTCAGAGACTCAAAGTGTGAATATCCTGCTGCCTGTAATGCTCTGGAAACTCTCTTAATTCATCGAGACTTGCTGAGAACCCCGTTGTTTGATCAGATCATAGACATGTTGAGAGTAGAACAGGTTAGTCACTCATACTTGTGTTTTGTTTTGTGGGTTTTTTTCCTAATACTTTAGAAGCATTTGGTCTGGCTGGTGTAGCCCTGTTTAGTTTTATGATGGCATAACACTTAAGTTATCCATATGTCTCTTCGTACACGTAAATGAACTCACAGAGAACTTTCTCTGCTTCTCCACACAACCCCAAGTTTTTCTGTAGAAATGATCTGAAAGCAGCTTCTTCAGGACAGCTACATGCCATTATGGGGATACAAATACTTCCTTTTATATAGCAAAAATAATCTTCTGCCTTAGAAGAGCATATACACAACCCTTTCTCTACCCTTCTTAATTCTGACTTAATTGCTGTTAACCTCCCAGACGCAAAGCCTCTTCTTCTTGAATCTATTCATTTAGCTTCTTACCCAAGTGAATTCCCTTTCTGTTTTTCTCTTTTCTGAATCTGCTTCATCCACGTTTTTTTAAACCTTTCATCTTGCATGGCCTTTATCCCCACCCATTTTCTGTCCTAGTATGTCAAAGGAACAGCGAAAGGCCAATATACTAATTAGTGATCTTGACATGGGTAATGTTTTGTCAGTAAAGGTAGCAGAGATGCATTGAGAGAGAAATATCCATGAAGTAGTGTGAGTTGCACATAAATCAAGGATTTTCACACAGCAGTATGTACTTGGTAAATAAGAGTGTACAGGCAGTGATTAATGCAGGTAAATAGAGAGTCCATATGTTTTGGTGATGTTGAAAGGGTCATAGTAAAAGAAGCTGATAGGTAGTCAGAACAAGTCCTCACTTAATGGATTCCGCCCCCTCCCCTGCCCCCCCCATGTCTTGTTTGGTTGTTTCTTGAGAAGGGTAGAGTGAAGGGTAGATCTCTGGATTTTGGATGAGAGGAATGTGAGGACTAGTGCATTTCCACCACCACCCACCCAGCTCCTAATACAGTGGGGAGGATGTTACCTCTGTCTAATCTGACCTGACAACAAGAAACATGCAAATATTGGGCAGGATTATGCAATTAAAGTAATTTATAGTTGCACAAGAAAATGCCATTTTACAGATACCTTCTTAAAAGCCTTCAAATTTCAAATTTTGCAGACTTGTGCTTCATTTCCCATTTATGTTCATCTTGTCAAAATTTCCTCTTTCATTTGCATGGGGATTTCTCTGCTGTATCAGTTCTAAATTATCTCTCATTGTTTAGGTGTCTCGGCTGCTATGATTAAACTCAGAGGTTGATGGTAATGCATTAGATCTTCTTTATAACAAATGAAAGATACCTGCGTGAGTTTTCTTGTTTTGGACCCAGTAACTCCTTTGTGTCTGAAACACATGCTTCAGAGAGGGCTGGTGTCAGTTTACAAAGTAAAAGGGTAAAAGCTGTTCAAGATCTTAAGTTTTTTGTAGGTGCAAACTTGGAAGCATTCCTATAGTTACTCTCTGTGCTGCAGTTGCTTTCTTAAAAGAAGGGCTGGCTGCAACATTTTAGCTGTTTTTCCCAGTACTAGTGTTGTACTGTCCTCCTGCCTGATGACTTTCTCTCTAAGTGATGCAATTGCTTTAAATCATCTGAAATGAGTCTTGAACTAGGAGCATGTCATGGTAGGTAGTCAACCTAGCATGTCAGCTATTGTACCTTGTCACTAGTTCACCAATCTGCTAAGTTTCCCAAAGTGCAGGCTTATTTTTCTTACACTGCATGTGGTGAACATTTGATTCACAAATGTTGTGGGCTAACCCCAGTCAGCAGCTAAGCACCATCCAGCCACTCGCTCACTCTCCCCTGCCCCAAGTGGGACGGGGGGAGAGAATAAGAGGAGCAAAAGCAAGGAAACCTGTGGGTTGAAAGAAAGATAGTTTGATAAGCAAAGAAAAGAGGAAGAAGAAAGGGGAAGGGGGGGGGGGGGACGGGACAAAAAACCCAACCCCCAAAAACCCACACAAGTGAGGCAAAGCTAATTACTCACCATCTGCCACAAGCAGACCAATGCCCAGCCAGTCTCTGAGCAATGCCTACCTTCTTCAAAAACCCCTTCCCCTCAGTTTGTATTGCTGCACATGACACTACATGGCATGGAATATCCCTTTGGTCAATTCGGGTCAGCTATCGTGGTTGCGTCCCCTCCCAACTTCCTGTGCACTCCCAACCTTCTTGCTAGGGGGACAGAGTGGGGGAAAAAGAGAAAGCCTTGATGCTGTGCAAGCTCTGTTCAGCAACAGCCAAAACATTGGTGTGTTTTCAACAGTGTTTTAGTCACAAGTCCAAAACATAGCGCCATAGGGACTGCGATGAAGAAAATTAACTCCATGCCACAGAGTACAAGAAGCCACACTTTCACCTGGAAGGCATTGGTATGGTCAGCAGCACAAAATGTTTCTGGTATTGCAGGTGAAGATTCACGCTGGCCCAAAGTTTGCATCTTACTTGACATTCAGCCCTTCAGAAGTGAAATCTCTCCGCACAGAATATGGGGACCTGGAGTGCTGCATTGAGGTGGTGGACAGTGTCCAAGAGGCTGTTGAACATATCCACAAGTACGGAAGTTCTCACACAGATGTTATCATCACAGAGAATGGTTAGTGATCAGTCTGCTTTCTTAAGCTACTGTTTTGGTTTGCCAATTCTTGGTGTTACTGTAATCACTTACACTGCAGTAGTAGTTCTCCTCTTGGGTCTGTAGTAGGCATAACCAACTGGAGGCCTATGAGCTAAATGTGCCTACAGTCCTGTTTAGCTCAGAGAAAACATGTTGTGTGGCCCTTATTCCAGGATGTTAAGGAGTGTGCTTGAGCAATTGGCCGATGGCAAGTCAGCATATGCTTTTGCCAGGCAAATTGCTTTGTGTTCCTGTATTGCGCAGACTTACCGCATCAGAGGGTTTTGCAGGAACATCTCCTGAATCCTGGAGATGTCCTTAGGCCTCTGAAGGCTGATGAGGTGAGCTTCTATAGTACCTCACTGGAGGGAACAGGCATTGTAGGGAAGATCAGACTTTACCCACTTTGTCTTCCCATGTCATTTTTATATCTTGCAAACAAGCACCACAAATGTTTTCCCCTTACATCTCCCAGCCCTTTACTTCCCACTTCTGCATCCCTAGTATAAAAGCTGCATTTATTATCTCAGTTTGGAGTTTCTTGCCTCTTTATTGTGAACTCGTGCTCCTTTGTGCAGCTCTGTGCTGCTCCCATCCTTAGCACCTGTCCTGCATGCAGTCTGAACACTGTGCCAGTTCAACACCTAGCTAGAGCTGCGCCCAGCCAAAGGTTGACTCTCAAACCAAGCCTGGAACACTCCTGAGGATCAACTGCAGTAAGGTCATGTTGATCTGCAGCTGATCAGTGTGTGAGTCAAGCAGGCTTCTATTTCTGTACCTTCCGCTGAGCTTAAATGAGCGTCACTAAAAGGCATGCATTTGATACCGTAACCCACTGCCACGGGACCTGGTGCACTAGTGATTTGCCAGGGAGTGTACTGGAAAGAGAGCTGATCTTTATTGTTCATCTTGTCGCTAAGGGCGACTGACCTGCAGCTCTCAGCCTTACAGAGAATGGAGTCTTCCAGAGGACTAAGACTTGCATAAGTCTGTCTGAGCTTGCTCAGGTCTTGCATGTTCTGTGTTAACTGAGTTACTTAGCTGATTTCATGTGGTATTTCTGCATCGTATTTCCCAAATATTACCTGCAATAGCAATTTAGTTTAGGATTTTTCATTATCTGGAACAATTCCGTGTTTGAGATTAATGGAGAGCTGACTCTGTAGTTTAACTCTTATCAGTTTGACTGCTAAATGTTGTTTGGGGCAGCTGTCCTTTCTCCCCAGTCATACAACTATCCCTGTTTGCAGGTTCTAGACTGGATGTATTTAGAATTAGACATCTTTTTGCTTTCTTCTAATCTTTGCAAGCTTCTTGTAACATTTGCAGCTGTGTCTACTTGATAAGCATACTGGGAAGAAGGTATAAAGAACATGTCTTAGCGCAGGCTGTTTAAACACTGTCTGATAAGATTGCATGTGAAAGTCTTATCGTTATATCTGTTCACTGTATGATGTTGTGTTTATTGGAGTGTATGATCATTCTCTATGTACTGGATTTTATTTTTCTCTCTGCCTCTTTCCCAGAGGAAACAGCAGAGTTCTTCCTCCAGCATGTGGACAGCGCTTGTGTTTTCTGGAATGCCAGTACCCGATTCTCTGATGGCTATAGATTTGGACTTGGTAAGAGAGAAAATACCGCAGGGATGTGACTGCAGGATTTGCTGTTGTGTGAAAAGTGTGGCAGTCTGAATCCTGGAAGACAGGATTAGTCTTTGATCTTACTGTCTAATATAAGGTTTTCAGGAAAGGTACCGTAGGTAAAGTTGAAGCCTAGACATTTCATCCACGCGGAACAGCAGACAGTTTAATATCTCTTTCCTGCCAGAACTAGCTAATACTGCTATACAGAATACGTAGATTAATTTAGCAGCAGGGAGCAAAGACATTTTGGATCCTTTGAAGCTCTATTCAATCAGAATAAAGTATGTTGCATGCATGTAATGATAGAATAATGCAACACAGGATCTGAAATTGGTGAACAGTTTTTCTTTTGTTTCTCTTTCTAATGATGCTGTAAAGAATGCCATGCTTTGTTCCTGCTGGGCAGAATGAGCTGCTGTCCAGCGTGCCAGCCTTGCAGTGTTGAGGAATGAAAGGCAAGAACCAAACTGAATATCAATTGCTTAAATAAAGAGGTGCACCTACTGTGAATTGCAGAAGACAAGGGAAACATTCTTTCCTGAGGTAGAAACTCAGAAATATCTGTAGCAGGCTATTACTGTGTCAGCTGGAACATTCAGTGTTCCATGTGATTAGAAAATTCTAGTTAGGGCCTTGCAGTATCTCCTCAATATGATAGAAAAGGACATAAGATCACAATCTTGACTAATTTAGCTCTTTTTTTTTTTTTTTTTAAAAAGGATTAAACCCTCTGGAAACAAGTCTAAGATCCATGTAAGAGATACCTCTCTCTCTTGCATCTTTCTCTCTAAAAGTGACTCTGTAGCAGCCAGAAGTATAAACATTACAATTTATAATGTAATAGTTAAGCTCCTCTAACTTTTAAATTGGAACAGGTAAACATAACTTCTGGCATTTAGAGAGGAGCAGAGAAAGGCAGGCAGCTGTTTTTACATAAAGGTGCAAAACTGCTTAGTATGAAGTGAACATCTTCTGAGGAATAACTACCTTTATCTTGTGCGTTTCCTGCAGGTGCTGAAGTGGGAATTAGTACTTCTCGTATCCATGCACGTGGACCAGTGGGAATTGAAGGACTCTTAACTACGAAGTGGTTGCTGAGGGGGGACAATCATGTCGTTTCTGACTTCTCAGAGCATGGGAGCATGAAGTATCTTCATGAGAGCCTCCCTCTCCCTCAAAGAAACACCAACTAAGAACATCAGGGTAGTGGGGAAAACCCAGGGGTATAAATATTTGCTGAAGATGTTCAGGCTTCAGGGTGCTCTCTTGGGGGGGGGTGGGGGGTGTGTTTTTCATCTTCAGGAGCATTGTTCTCCGTCACTGTGTGGTACAATGGATACAAAACGACCCCATCTGTGAGATTTTTTTTTTTTTCCCCCCTGCCCCTGTTTCCTTAGATAGTATCTGCAAACTGACCTCACTTTTCCCAGAGACGGAGTTCTTCAAAACATACAAAAGT